AAAAAAAAAAAAAAAAAAAAAAAGACATTTAAGTGATATTATACACTGTAAACAACTGTATTAAGTAGTTTAGATAGTAATTCAGTCCCTGGTCAACCCCTAAGATTCTCGAGCTCCTGTCCCCTGCACTGACACATGTGCAAGGCATGAAGTAACATCTGCTGAATGAGGACAAGCGAACCACGGGAAACACAGGGGAAAGCCTCCCAGGGCCCTGGGGGGTCTTGGGGCTCCTGCCTGGCTGTCCAGCTGCTGTGCATCCTGCCCAAGGCTTGTGCTTTGCTGCTCCAGCACCTCCAGCTGCTGTGCCGTCTCGTGGCGGGGGCCCAGGGGGCTCCGGAGCTGGCTCTGTGGAGAGTGGAAGGTGAGGGCATACACTGGCCCGGGTTGGGGAAGGAAGGCCGGGACGCTCAGTACCTGCAGGTCAGTGATGGAGGCGTTCAGCCTGTGCAGACGGGCCCAGGCCACAGAGCTGGCATTGATGCCACGCAGTTGCTCATGGATGGCGGGGAGGAGGGTGCCGGCCCGTTCCAGGTCGTCCAGGAGCAGGACCACACAGTGGTCACACACTGCAGGCAATGTGGGTTCACAGGTCAGTGTCATGGGGTCAGGTCAGGGGAGAATGATCAGCTGGGGCCCTGGGGTCATCCGGGTGGGGAGGGCTCAGCCAGAGGGTCATGAGGTCAGCTTAGGGACACAGGACCCGTGGGGAGGTCCCAGGGTTCTGGCAGAGTCATGGGGTCAGGTAGGAGTCTGATAGGGGTGAAGGGCATGGGGTCACCCAGGGAGAAGGTAGGACCAGCACAAGGGGTTGGGGCCGGCACCAGGGTCATGGGGGAAGCCGGAGGAATGGGTCAGGGTGGGGTCATGAGGTCATCATGGGGTTGGCACAGGCGACTGGGCTGGGATGAAAATGACAAGGTTAGTGGAGGTCAAAGGACAGCATGGGGCTTCCTGAAAGGTCATTACAGGAGTTAGATCAGCAGGGAACTGAGTGGGTACCAGGAATCCACAAAAGGATAGGGAGAATATACAGTGGGGTGGGGGTGAGGCGGTGGGGCCAGTGGAGGGGTGGGGCCAGAGGGTGAGGCGGGGCCAGTGGAGGGGTGGGGTCAGTGGGGGAGGCAGGGCCAGCAGATGGGGTGGGGCCAGGGCACACAGGAAGGCTAAGGACAGTAGAGGGGTACAGCCAGCATTGGAGCCACAGCACTCCTCAGCATGGAGTTGGACAGGCATGGGTCTCTTGGGAAATGGAAGGCAGCTGGGACCACTCTGGGAGGTTGAAGTTAACACAGGGGTCACCAGGCAGTGTAGGACTTGGATTCCCACTCCACCCAGGTGTGGGGAAGTGGGGTGTTGAGGACGCACCTTCACAGTGGACGCTGTGGTCCCCAGGCCCACCTGGAACAGGCACCTGATGCTGCTGGCTGCAGGTGTCACAGCGCTCCCCACTGAGCCCTGGGGGGCAGGTGCAGCGGCCCGTGTGAGGGTCACAGCGGCCCCCAGGGCACTGGCAGCCTGTGGTGGGGGGCTTGGGTGAGCATGGCCGACCTGGGACCTTGAGGCGTCCCCCATTCAGAAGTCCCCATCCACCCTCCTGTGACCTGCCAGCACTCACGCCTGCAGCCCTGCTCAGGGAGCCCCCAGTAGCCAGGGGCACACTCGCGGCATTGGGGTCCCATGGTCCCTGGTCGGCAGTGGCACTGTCCGCTCTGGGGGTGGCACTCGGAGCCCTCGGCGGCCGGTCCACAAGCACACGGGCGGCAGCCCCCGCAGCCTTCGAAGCCAAAATGTCCCTCCTGTGGCACAGGCTGTAGTCACTGCCCTGCCCAGCCCTCAAGACTGTCCCAGACCAACCAGGAGGCCAGGGGTCCTGCCCATCTGGCCCTGCCCCCTGAGGCTCCGCCCATCAAACACCGCCCCTCAGCCCCACCTATCAGCCTCTCCCCAGGCCCCAACTCCAGTCCCCAGGCCCCACCCACCCAGCCCTGCTTACCGCACAGCCTCACCTGACAACGGTCACAGCGCCGCCCAGTCACACCCGCCTTGCACAGGCATTGCCCGCTATGGGGGTTGCAGGCCTCTGTCCCACATGGGGCACAGTCGCACCCTGCAGAAGGGGTCCATGACTGCAGCCCTGGGCCCTCTCACCCCCTAGGTAGCCCCTATGCCCCCCACTAAGCCCTCACTTCACTGCCTCCTGCTCTGCCGGTTCCAGGCCGCCGGACCACCCAGCTACCCACTCCTGTCCCAGCCTGGCCCCAGCTGCCTCCGCTGGGCCCGAGGGACCTGCAGACTCCC